TTTTTTGTCTGACACCTGACAATTTTTTTTCTGATACCTGACGATGTCCTAAAATGTACACCGTACAAGTGTCGATGAAAAAGCATAATAAGTTGGACAATATTGCACATAATGTCATCTTTGTATATATCTATTTACTTACTGTATATAATGTTTTTCTCTATATATTTTGCACAGTCGAGGAGTGTATCAGGTCACATTTCACTTCGTGTTATACTTGTATAACTATGTATGTGAAAAATCCTGAATTGAATCTTGAATAAAATTACAAAATTGGTTTAGGAGTTTTAGAGTTTTAGTATTACTAAATTAATGACTGCAGTCTGTCTTCTCAGTCTCCGCAGTTGTATTGCAGTCACATCCTGCCTGGTCTGAGTTCACACATTCTTATTTAGAAGCTGATCACTAAAACAGGAAACATGGTCAGAGGTTTTGCCTATTTGTATCTTAGTAAAGTACAAGGTTTACTTAAAAGCTGCCTGCTCAGTCACAAGAGGCTGAATAGTGAAGAAACACAGAAACTGTGTTTGTGTAGGTGATACTATTAGTTGTCCTTTGTGGTGAACTGGGTTTAATTATTTGAAACCTGTAGCAACCGTGATATTAAAGACAGTCACTAAATAGATTGTAATGAACGTTATGTGTGAGTTCACTAGGGAAGATCTGTAGTCACTCATTTGCCTGCTTCTCTGTTCTCTACATCACTGCCACTTTCCCACGCTGTCAGTCTCAATACCGTCATCTTTACTCTAGTCCAATCATCTTCTTACTCACCTTCTTTGGGCTAATCAGTGTCCACTGCGCTCTTTATCATTCTCCTTTCCTCATTCATGCAGTTTTTTCAGCTTTTTACATGTGGCATATCATTAATATATATTTACATGTTATATATCAGCGCAAGGGCGAAGATTTGGTTTTGGCATTGGTGGGGACAGATGATTCAGCCACCAAACCCTGCCATGTTTCTTTTTTTTTCTTTTTGTCTTTGCTTCACATATGCTATTCGACATGCTTTTAAACCATTTAAAATCACAATTCATAGTTTTATATGTGAATTATATAATGTTAAATTACTATTAAACAAATGACTAAGTATTTTAGACTTTAGTTTACCTCGGCCATATTCCATATAAATCAGGTATACAAAAATAAAAATAGTTTCAAATACAATCATGACAATAAAAGAATATGACTTTAAGGACTTAACAACATTACTTCATAATATAGTACACCAACATCTCTTATACAAAACTACTCATATAAGATTACCACAAAGTAAAAGATCTCTCAGTAAAATTATGCAACATTTTAGGTAAACTACTGCCCCTATCAAATCTGTGAGCTGGGATTTTTTATTCTAAACATGAACTACTGTTACAGCAACAGACATGGACTACTGGTGCCCCACACAACAACTCAATGTCCACTATGTGAAGCAGCCAAACACATGCCTTCTCCTTTCGTTAGCTGAGATAAACTTCTGGCATATTTGTTTTACATCTATACTGTTCAGTCTCTCCTGGTGGACAGGTTATTCATGGTTACATACAATTTTAGACTGATGTGGGCCAAGCCTAGCACATACTTACCAACTTTGAGACCTCAGAATTAGGGAGACATTCAAAAGGGCTGTTGGGGGTTGGGGGGTGGGAGTGGTATACATCTACACAAAAAACTTGAATCTTACAGTCTTTATTTATCGAATAAAATAAGTTAAATGTCACTGTTATTATTGTCCGGCCGGAAACAAGCCGGGGGTGTCCAAATTCCGAAGCTGCGTCCACCAGAAGACCTGGCCTTTGCAGTCATGGGCCGGGTCCTCCATTTTTTCCTGAATTATAAAGAAATATGGGCCCCAGTTGGGCAGCACATAGTGTGGGCTGCCCATACTAAGCAGAGAGGGTTCCACAGTGGGGCCAATTGTACATATAGTAGTATTTCCACACTCTAAGGCTACGTCGACACTAGCCCCGATAAATTTGAAAATGGCGTTTTTGTCTGAAACGCCAAAATGGAGAAAGAAAAGATGGGTTTTCAAATGACAACGTATTAGTGTGGACATGGCCTAAGTGTGGGCTGCCCTACATGAGCCCCTCAGATGTGCCCCACATTTCACACTAATATACAGTACAGTACTTCTGATATTGAACATAAAATACTTTTGGTTTTAAACAAGTATTTTCAACATCATGAACAGAAAGCGAAAATATAACATGAATGCAGTCAGTTATAAATAAGTTGCGTAACCGTGTCGCCTCAGTGAAGACATAAAGTCAGACTATTTAAAAATGTGTTGATTATCAAAAAGTAATCCAGTGCAACCAATGATATGAAGCGAAAATGAAACCTTTATAAATAATTCCGCAATCTTTTCCCCCTATATGTCTATATTTATTTGTGTTTGTGGGGCAAAAAAAACCAAACAAACAAACAAAAGAAAAGAAGTTGTTAAGTACAACATCAATGAACCTGACACCAAAATTTTTAAGAATTCTCCTCTGAGGCTAATCGCTAACAGGGCACACTGGAGCCTGTTCAGACCAGCACACACACGCCTGTTTTTGAGTAAAAAAACTTTGAAAGCTGCAGACTGTATCAACAAAGGCTGAACACTGAGCAGACATGGAAGCTGTAGCTGGAATGTTGTTGATGTTGTTCGGAGTTTCTCATGGTGAGCTACAAAACTTGCTTAATACCTAATCTTATAACAATGAGATGTTTTGCAGCCACGGAATCTAGTACAGTCCATAAAATAAGTTTGGAACAAAAAGAACAACAACAACAAAAGACAATTTTTTCCAGCTTGCTTGGCCTGCTTTTCTTTAAACATTAATGTGCCATTCTGAGATCATTGAATATGCAGTAAACACATATAAGTAAATACAACTATGACAAATTACCTCATTAAACAACTGTTCTATTTCACACCAGACATTTTTACTTTTTTTTCTTGTAGAAAAGTACAGGCTACTTAAAACATTTGATGATGGTGTGGTAAGGCAACATGCACAGCTGCAGAGTCTAAACGCTACAGCAGCTAAATACAATTCAGACATTTGTTTTGTCGTTTGGAAAATTGCAATTTTCCAGCTAGGTTTTGTAAATTTTCATCTTGATGAATATCTGCACAAGGAAACTAGAGCGGCTAACTTACCCCAAACTATGTCACAGACCTGTATAATACGTATCTGTTCACAAACATTAATGGACTTAAACTGACAATCATCAGAAAATGTAACCACAGTCCTTCTGGCAGGGACTACAAACTAAAATCCACAAGTTCCCGTGGACAATTTTCAGATATATTTTTTTGCTTTCCCAGTTATTCATTGGAGAACAAAATCCTGTCACGGTATCAGAATTGATCTGTGTGTTTCTCTCAGCTCCTGTGTCCTCTGTCCTGCTAGTCTCTGAGTGTCTGTCCCAGGGAGAGATGAGGGTGTCCTGCTCCTCTGAGGGAGGGGACAGTCCTCAGTACAGCTGGACTCTAAATGGACGCACACTGACAGATGCTGAGCTCCTTTCTGGAAATAATGAGACTAACATCATCACTCTGAAACAGCACGTCTCAGGACATCTGGTCTGCTCAGTCAGTAATAACGTCAGTGATGTCTTCAAAGAAGAGAGGATATCTACCTGTGGTGAGTGAGGTCTTTGTAAATAATATCTGATAATCACTCAGCAATTGATATGCTCACTTTGTATATCTTTAGCAAATTACGTGGGTTTCTTTGCTCATAGGCTTTATTTTCATTAACTGCACTTCAGTCATCAGGACACAGATATCAGAGTGTGTGCATAAAACTAATAACACTGTGTGTACTGAACCAGCAAAGAGTTCTGTGGGTAAGGAAAAAGAAACTGCCATCAGTGATGAATCATGATAGATTAGTAAGTGAAAACTAAGTAGATCCAATGAAATCAGTTTTTTCATCTTTTGTTGTCTTTTATCTTTGAAACATGCAATTTGTCATTGATTGGTGGTGGACTCTCAGCTCTGGTAATTTTCATAGCTGTGGGTGCAGTTATCATCTGCTCAGAGAAAAAGAAAAACGACAAACGCTTAAAACAAAACGGTAACAAACATCTTTTTTTTTCTTTCTCCCATTACTCAGGTCGCTCCTTTTTGCATTTTTTAAGAAGATAAACAGAATAATTGAGCACTTTTAAATAGTTTTTTTTTAATTATTCTTGCTAAGAGTTTATTGATATCTGTTATGTGTCAGTTAAATATGCAAGTATTGTTAACCAACTACCTTTAACACAAAGTGTTGGAAAGCAATTTTGCCCAGCTTTGTAAAGCTTAAAGCTCCCAAAAGAATGTTAAAAGTCATGTTTTATTTATTTATTTATCTATGTAAAATGCGAATCATTTTGCATCTTTGTGGTAAAACGAACTTTTTCCATACAGTGACATTTTTTGACTATTAGCAAACAGTTTCATAGAACATGAAAAATTCTTTAATCATTCACTGACTCTATTTGCTGCTCTGCAGAGAATGGAGATGGCCAAGAAGTCTATGCTAATGTTGGTGTTGTGGCAGGTGAAGCAAAGGGAGAAAATAGCAGAGCTGGAGTTAATCAAGTCTTTAAAATGAACTTGCCAGACTGAAACAACGGGAGATAGTTTTGTGTATGCTAACATCATAAAAAAACGCACGGTAATTTAAGCGGTCACTACTTTTACATAGACTGTATCACTCAAGAACCATAGAGGAAGGAGATGATGCCAAGATGCCTAGAGGTCTTTCAGTTAATGCGATTTCCCATCAAGGATCATACTTATTGATTTATTAATTTATCTTATTTTTACTGTATTGTACAAAATGGTTCTGTTGTTAGGGAACCTCTACATTTACTGCTATACTACTACTGTGACTGTTTTCCACAAATTTTAAAATAATTAAATTTAAAATAATTTAAATCATTACATTTTGTAAAAAATTCAGTGCAGAAAAACTTTTGGTCATTGATAAAAGATCTGAATGCCCACAGCTGACTTTTCAGTCACAGAAGAAGAGAACACTTTATATTAAAGTTTTGTGGTTGTATTTTTTTCTTTGATATCTGCACAATGCATTTTACAGTCGAAACAAAAATAATTTCCTAATTTATTTAAGTACGGTTGTGGTGAGCCGTGGTAAGCGGTGTCACTGCAGGGGAGGGAGCACCTGAACAGCATCCGCAATCACCCTTCACCAGCTTAAAGTCTGTGTTCTAACTGTTGTCGTTGCTGTTGGTGGTGATGTGTGTGGCTGACAGCTGTAGAGCTGCAGCCATGTGTTTGTGACAGCAACCGTGAGAGAGTAAAAGTGTCAATAAAGTATGCTGAAAAGCATGTTCATGTATGAATCATAGAACAGTTTAGTTCAAATTTATGTAACATTACTTCATAATGTATGTCATCTCAAGAAACATTACACAATAAAACCTGCCAGTATTATATATTTGAATCTCAGACTGTCAGATTTGATTTTTTATTATAGAGATCACAATAACAATATTGATTATATTCTGTCATTTAGGGAAGTTACGTGATCTGCATCTTGTCAACTTAATTGTATTTTCAATTAGCTCAGAGCCAGTTTACCACAGAACCCTTTATGTAAGATCTTTGACACTGTATTACAATCTCAGTCTCAATTCAAGTATCATCTGTAGCATCCAGTCGAACTGAGAAGGCCAGAACTGATGGTTGTTGAATGACCTTTATTATTCCTTGC